GGTACAGTACAGATTAGTTTAACTCTGGGTACAGTACAGATTAGTTTAACTCTGGGTACAGGACAGGTGAGTTTAACTCTGAGTACAGAACAGATTAGTTTAACTCTGAGTACAGAACAGATTAGTTTAACTCTGAGTACAGTACAGATTAGTTATACTCTGAGTACAGTACAGATTCGTTTAACTCTGATAACAGGACAGATTAGTTTAACTCTGAGTACAGTACAGATTAGTTTAACTCTGAGTACAGAACAGATTAGTTTAACTCTGAGTACAGAACAGATTAGTTTAACTCTGAGTACAGTACAGATTAGTTTAACTCTGGGTACAGTACAGATTAGTTTAACTCTGAGTACAGAACAGATTAGTTTAACTCTGATAACAGTACAGATTAGTTTAACTCTGGGTACAGAACAGATTTGTTTAACTCTGAGAACAGGACAGGTGAGTTTAACTCTGAGTACAGAACAGATTAGTTTAACTCTGAGTACAGAACAGATTAGTTTAACTCTGAATACAGTACAGATTAGTTATACTCTGAGTACAGTACAGATTAGTTTATCTCTGAGTACAGTACNAGTACAGAACAGATTCGTTTAACCCTGAGTACAGAACAGATTAGTTTAACTCTGAGTACAGAAGAGATTAGTTTAACTCTGAGAACAGGACAGGTGAGTTTAACTCTGAGTACAGAACAGATTAGTTTAACTCTGAGTACAGAACAGATGAGTTTAACTCTGATAACAGGACAGATTAGTTTAACTCTGAGTACAGAACAGATTAGTTTAACTCTGAGTACAGAACAGATTAGTTTAACCCTGAGTTCAAAACAGATTAGTTTAACTCTGAGAACAGGACAGGTGAGTTTAACTCTGAGTACAGAACAGATTAGTTTAACCCTGAGAACAGAACAGATTAGTTATACTCTGAGTACAGAACAGATTAGTTTAACTCTGAGAACAGGACAGGTGAGTTTAACTCTGAGTACAGAACAGATTAGTTTAACTCTGAGTACAGAACAGATTAGTTTAACCCTGAGTTCAAAACAGATTAGTTTAACTCTGAGAACAGGACAGGTGAGTTTAACTCTGAGTACAGAACAGATTAGTTTAACCCTGAGTTCAAAACAGATTAGTT